CGGGTCTGAGGGGTGCGCGGGTCTGGGCGTGCGCGGCTCTGAGGCGTGCGCTGGTCTGAGGGGTGCACGGGTCTGAGGGGTGCACGGGTCTGAGGCGTGCGCGGGTCTGAGGCGTGGGCGGCTCTGAGGCTTGCGCCTTGGCTTCTCCCTCCTTCTCCTAGGAGCGGCCCCCCTGGCCAGCGCTCTCTGCCCAGCCCCAGGTCCCCGCCCTCCTCCATCTCACCCCAGGACCCCTGTTCCCGCCGCAGACCCCGCTTTGCCGAGGACCCCATCCTGGCCCCGAACCGGGTGGCTGAGTGCACCCGCTCTGCCTCTCTGCGCCCACCTCAGTGATCTCCACGTTGGCGGGGTCCCCCCGCACAGAGCCATCCTGCTGCCTGTACCCCGCGTAGCGAATCAGCTGGCTGTTCCAGATCCGGAAGTCCCCGCGGCCGGGCGAGCGCTGGGGGAACACTGTGATGGCCGAGCTGCGGGGGGACAGAGCCGGTCAGGACCGCTCGGGCCGCGCGGGCGGGGGCGGCCGCCGGGGCACTCACCGCAGGTTGCCCCGGTTGGTGGCGTACTTGACGTGGCTGCAGATGTAGGTGAACATCTCCTGCGCTGAGCTGCAGTCTCGGGCATCGAACACCTGAGCCGGCCAAAGGGGGGCGGGGCCAGGGTGAGTGCCAGCCCCTGGGAAGCCGGGTGCAGGGGAGGGAGGAGGCTGGGGTGTCCTCACTGTGCGCTGGGGTGCTTTCATCTCGGGGATCCTCCCTGGCCATTCACACTCCTTCCTGCCCTGCTCCCCACGCACCCAGCGTGGCCTGGTCTTCTCCTCACCTCCTTTGGGGGGCACAAGTCTCCCCCGCCCCCTACAGAAGCTAAGGGCCTGGTACAGGGGGTGGCCACCAACAGGTGGGGCGGCCTCCTAGGCTGGAGGTGAGTCCCCCATTACCCACAGCACTCAAGCAAAGGCTGGAGGCCCCGTCGGTCACCCGGCTGGCTGTGGGAGCACAGTGCTGATGGGGAGACTGCCCCCCGGACATTGTGAGGCCGGGGGCAGCCCCGGCAGGAGACGGGAGGCCCCTTCCTTCCCGGGGTGACGCGTGGGGGGCTGTGTCTGGTGGGGTTGGGGGAATGGCCTGGAGTGGAGTCTGCATGCGGGGCTCTCAAGGGCGTCCGGTTAGGGGGCGTTGAAGGGACGCTCCTAGTTCAGCGTCTCCTTGGGGTTTTACTGAGCTTGCGGCTTTATTCCAAGTCCTTTGGTGCCAGTCAAGCGAAGGAGGCCAAGGTCGCAGGTTAGGGTCCCTGTGGGTCACTCCCTAGGCCACAGGCTGCTCCAGTGACCCAGACTGGCTCTGAGCCACGGGGGAGGGGTGTGAGGAGGGCGTGGGCTGGAGGGCAGGAGGGAGCACTGTGTTTGGGGTGAGGGAGCGGCCTGGGCATGTGCGGCCCACTCCTAGCACCCTGGCAGGGGCCGCGGCTCCTGTTGCCCTGATGGTACCGCCGGGGGTAAGCCCTTCACCCCCCAAGCGCTGCTGGGGCTTGTCTCTCGGCTGGGCTGACAGCCCCCCAGCCCCTGTCTCTAGGGGAGGGGGCAGGTGTCTTCCTGCTGCTTGCGATGCCCAGGAGGCGGCAGGAGCCCACCCCGCCTCCCGCCGGCCTCCGGCACACCTGCAGCTTCCCCCACTGGATGCGGCCCACGCAGCGCGGGGCGTTGCGCCAGGCCTGCTTGGCCCCGAACACCAGCTCGCTCTCCCGGAGCTGGTAGGTGCCTGTGGCCGCCACCTCGGCCTCCACCTCCTGAAGCCGCTGCTCGTGGGCCTGGGAGCCGCTCCTAGGGAGGAGAGGGGCTGGCAGGAAGGTCGGGGGAGCTGCCCAGCAAGGTGTGAATGTCGGGGACAGGCTGCAGTGCTAAGCTGGACTCTGCGCTTGCAGAATTGGGGTGGGTGGAGGTTGACAGAGCAAGAAGCTCAGCCTCAGCAGGACAAGGGTCTGAAGATTGGTGGGCGTGGGCCGTGGGCTGGGGGTCCCACCTCTTGATCATGGGGCTCGGGGTCCCACCCTTGACCGTGGGGCTGGGGGTCCCACCCTTGACCGTGGGGCTGGGGTCCCACCCTTGACCGTGGGGCTGGGG